GGCCCAACAACAGACAAAGGATGGAGACCAATCGCCCTTCTTTCTTGCATTGGTAAAGGGCTAGAAAGTCTTCTGGCAAAACGGATGGCTCACCTAGCAGTAACTTGTGATGTGGTTAGTCGGCAACAATTCAGCGCGCTCTCGAGACGTTCAGCAACAGACTTAGTCTCCTGCGTGGTGCATGATGTCGAGGAGGCGCGCACTTAAGGATGGGCGGCTACTTTAGTCACCTTAGATGTACAAGGTGCGTTCGATGCAGTTCTTTATAACCGCCTAGTAAGGATAATACAAGAACAAGAATGTCCAGACTCAGTTTTAAAGTGGACAACGTCGTTCCTTGCAAAACGAATAGTCCAAATACGACACTCGGAAGGAGTCACGATAGAGCGAAAACTAGGCTACAGAGTCCCGCAGGGCTCGCTGGTCTCTCCACTTCTCTTCCTGCTCTACATGGCAGAATTAATGCGCAGCGGTACGACTGATCCAAGATTTAGTTACGCTGACAACATTTGCACTTTTGGATTTGGCCGCACCACTGCTGAGTCTAATACCGCTGCTCAGAAGGAAGTCGATCACCCACTGGATTGGGCGCAGAAGGATGCCGTCCAATTCGACACAGAAATTTCAGAGGTAGTACAATTTCCATCACGGCATCGCGAGGCAGCTGTTGGCGTCTGCGTAAACGGCACTCTCATAGAGCCAGCTGAACAAGTTCGCTGGCTTAGAGTTCACCTTGATCCGCGTCTTAACTTCAAGCATCATATGATTACGTGGTCCGGAAAAGCAATGAAAGTCGCACATCTTATGCGACACTTCAATTCCTCATTTCGAGGGGCCGCACTAAGAGCGCTGATACGAGTAGCAAACAGTTGTATTGTTTCAATCGCGACTTTTGGAGCGGAAGTCTGATGGCCAGGCTTCAAACACCCAACAATAGCAGGAATAGCCACGCCAGCTACCGCGAGCCTCTGTACTATGATCGACAAGGCCAACATGATGGGTCTCTGATCTGCACTTCCAGTTCCGCGGACTACTCCTAATGTAGTCCTGCACAAGGAAGGAGAAATCTCTCCAGCAAACATTATTCTAGAGGGAAACCGACTACGGTTTTCAGCCAGAATAAAAATCCTCAATGATCGGCACCCGCTAAGATCTCGTGCTGCGATATGCCATAACGCTGGGACTCGGAAGTATAAGAAGAATCCAGGAGGATTTGATCATGTAGATAGACAAAGAACTCGTGCACAATGAGCTTAACGACAACTTCCAGACGCAGAAGCTTTGACGCCTTTGCCGCCGCCATTTTAACTTGCCAGGTCGATATCTAAGTCAGAAGGAAAAGAAGTGAGCAAACTTTGGATAGACAACGTGCCCGCATCGGAAATTTGCGCTTACTCAGACGGCTCTTCAGAGGGAAACGGACGTTCAGCTTTTGATTTTGTTGTGAAGAAATATGGTAAAACTATTCACAAGGAGAATGGTATCTGATACAGAGGAGAGGTCTTGGACGCAGAGATCACAGGAGCGCTGAAGGCTCTTAAGGCGACACTGAGAATGAAAGAAGCGCAACAGCAGCTGGGGGAGACGATACGGCGAGTGAATGTGTTTCTGGATAGTCAGCATGCTGTAAAAGCATTTGAGACGGACATCTCTTCAACCAGCCTCGAAGAGGTACGTCAGTTTCGCATACTCACAGCGTCAGCTATCGTGACAGTCAAGTGGATTCCCGGCCACTCTGGAATACAAGGGGACGAAGAAGCAGACGCTACTGCACGCCTCGGCTTACGAATGCTGCCCAGTCCGGACAACCAACCAGGATCTATCCCGTTAGCATACCTTCGTCGTCTCATGAATAATCGGCTATAGGCTTTGCTCAGCGATCGGTTGGATAAAGCGTGCCCTGTTCGGTGTCGAAAGCTAGATCTGCTCATGAAACGGCACAAGCCCCCTGAACTAGCCCTATCAAGGCATCTACTCCGCGAACTAATTGCAGCCCGTACAGGACACGGCAATTTCGTGGTCTATCATCGCCGAGTCAAGAATGCAAACGCAACTAGTGAGCGCGCGTGTGGGAAAGAGACTAGTTGAACCCAATTTTTACACTATGGGCTCTATTCTCACGAAACACGTCGAATCCGAGGTCTAAAGTCCCACGATGACTTCATACATGAACTTCTCGGAGCTAAGTGCCTTGAAGCTTTCAGAAATTTTGCACAGAAAACCCGATATTATGGGTGATCAGCTGCAGGATGGACCTCTGCTCTCAGCGAGGTCCATATAAATTAGTCATATAATATGACTCGATCGGAAGGGGAACGAGGCGAGAAGTTTTGCTTCTTAACCACAAGTGCTGATATTTAGTTGGAGCTCAAAGTTTTTGAGCCTGGAGTTTTGTTATGGTTTCTATTTTTTAATATAGCTGCATGTAATTTAACTAGCTACTATTTGAGTAACGGTTCACGCGGTGGGAACTAGTTGGGCATGTCATAGATATGATCTTAGCTGTAAACCCCGGTCTTTGACCCTTAGGGCATAACGGGTATATCCTAGGACTTAAAAGTAAAAAACAAAAAAACATGACCGGTGCTAAGATTGCTCTACAGCATTGGAGAAACTTGAAGCATGAACCACCACCGAGGACGGGAGATTCTGGCAGAAAAGGGTTGGGAAAGATTTCTCCAGTTCCTAACAGTAACTAAGTGTTACGAGAGGCAAATATCACATCTGGAGGATTAAGTCCTGCCGAAAAAGAAGTTTTCAGGACAAAAAGTTGTGAGGAAGGAGGAAAGGCACAGGGCGCTTAATTGTTTTGGAATAAATTTCATCAGTTATGTTTTGCGTATAGATTTGACAAGCAAACTATGAATTTAGGTCGTAGTGTGTCCCGAGGAAGCATAGACCCGTATCACGCCTATTGGGTGTAGGGCGTAAGCCTGGTACGAAATGAATTCAAATCAAATCAAATGACCGGTGCTATGCATACATATTGCATGACTCTTTTGACTCTTGTGACTTTGGAGACACTCATACTCTGGATTTCATTCGCAAATACCACTATGAAGTATGCTTACTTCCACAAACAGTCGAGCCTCCTCCGCAAGTACACACCAAGGAGATGTTTTAAAACCTTTGAATTTCAAAGCATGCCTTAATCATCCTTGTAAACTTGCACCGTGAGAAATGTAGTCATGTTCTTCCGAATCTGAACCAGCGGTCTCCTGTCTTAGTGAAATATGTGTCCAAGCTATCTAGACCTTGCTTCAAAGATCGACGAAGATGATGTATCACTTCACCGTCCAACCATGGCGCTGTTTAAAGTGTCACTCGTAGCCGAAGCTTTAGCCAAAGCTTTTGCGCATGCACAAAACACAATCCGTAAAACCCATTGATTAATTTCCAAGTTTTACTTCCTTCAAGATTGTATCCATCCTCTGCGTCATCTTGTAAACTTTTCTTTATCCCTCTCACGTCCATCCCAAAGAACTATCTCCCAGATTTGTGCGCCACGCTCTATTTTCTCCGTCGGGCATGAATATTGGTGTGAGTGTGTATTGTGTGGGCAGCAGAGGCCAGAGAAGGTCGAAGAGGGGTGTGATCATTGAAATGAGGATGCACTCAATCGTACTTGTAAATTTGATGATGTTTTGGTGGGGATCAATCTGGTTGGGAGTGTAAAATTTATTAGGTGGAGAGTCTTGAATCATTGCCTCGTGGGCCAACCTATTCGGAATTACGAAGTTTGACTGAACTTAGCTCTGAGAGAATATTTCACTCTCATGTTCTTAGAGGATACCGCGTACAGGTCTTAAGTCATTACCCTCTTATGCGCACCTCATGTGGTTCCAGTGTCTAGGCCTCGTCTGCAGATTTTCTTGAGAATATTTCCCGTGCACGCAGTTTCCATTGCTACCATTTTTTTTTTTTGGGTAGAAGGTTCAGTGGAAAAGGTGGCCGAATTCCACGGGTAAACACTGAGCTGAATGGCTATTCATCAAGGGCAATACATCAATGATCTTTGAAGTAACAAAAAAGGATAGGGTCATCGTACAAGGTGTGGCCTTGGTCAGAGAGAAGCCCAATGTCGTAGATGGATGATTCTATTGGAAATCTAGATTCAGTGTGTATGAGTGTTTTGATATCTAGGTGTGATCATCAAGATCAACCCCTACATAGTCTTAGACTCAGAAAGGACAACAAAATGAATGAAGGTCAACCGTGTAGATTCAATTGCATATGATTAAGCTTGGCTGGGCGACATTAGGATCAGTGGAATACGAAATCTACTGGCTGCAAAATGCAATCGTGCAATAATTGAGTGGCTGGTTGCTGCCAGATCATTAAAGCCTCAGGAATCTGTATTCAAGGATAGACTCATTTGCATATGCAAGATGAAGTTTAGGGAATCTTACATTTTACTAATTCACATTAAGAATACAGTCCGATTTTTTCTACAGATATCAACAAAAGTCTTGTCTGGGAGGACGAAGCCTGAACACCTGTCAGTGGTGTCCTCTACTAACCTGTGAGTGAAATAATCTCCCAGAGCCGAGATTCAGTCACGAAAAAGAGGGTAAGATTCCGGTATCGATTGCCCACGACACAATTAGAGCTTGACCCTCAGGATCGACTAAGGTAGTATCGTAATATTTAAATAGGGAATTAACCCAAATATCAAGAAACTGATCAGCTAGATCCTGAGTTAGTATTTCATAGTCCAGAACTCAGTAGAAACTCAAACTTATATCGACCAATCAATCTCCACGACAGATGGGGTCGTCAATAACCTGCATATTGCCATGAACTACAGGTAGCTAAAAGATTCAAACGGCAAAGGCGCCAGTACTTTTCACGTGAAATTCGTTTTTACTACGATGGATGGAGATTCTAGAGCTGAGCAGCTGGGGTAGATTACATACAATGCAAGAGAAATCGGAAATTTCAGATAGTTTCGGAGAGATTATGTCGCCTTGAGGCCGCTTTGCCAGTCACGCTAGCCATAATCACTCAACGGCCTTCTGTAGAGCTTGAAGGACATCGTTTACTAGATCCTCGCTATCCTCAATGCCACAGCTGATCCGAACAAGATCATCGTATACCCCGATGGCTTCGCGTTTCTCTCGGGGAATACCGGCATGCGTCATGGCGCTCGGCACTTCAACGAGACTTTCAACTCCCCCAAGACTTTCAGCTAATGTAAAGAAGCGAGTGTGCTGACAGAATCTCTCTGCAGCCGTGCGGCCTCCTTTTATACGGAACGAAAGCATGCCTCCGCCCAGACCTTGACGATGCTGTTGGATGGCGATGGCGCGCTGCGGATGCGAGTCGAGGCCCGGGTAGTTGACTAACGTAACAGATGAAGATGACTCTAATGCTTTAGCGATGTTGAGGGCGTTGTGACTTGCCTCGCGCGCTCGGAGATGAAGGGTCTTGAGACCACGGTGAGCGAGCCAGCTGTCAAAGGCCGAGGGCACAGCGCCAATGGCATTTTGCAGGAAGCTCAGACGCTCTCGAAGCTCTTCGGAGTTGAAGGCGGCAACACCCATGACTACATCTGAATGTCCGTTGATATATTTAGTGACAGAGTGAACGACGATGTCTGCACCGTGATCCAAGGGATTCTGTATATACGGACTCATAAACGTGTTGTCTACTACTACCATTACCCCGTGGGCGTGGGCTAGGTCCGCAATAGTTCTGATATTAGTGAGGCTCAGGGTAGGGTTCGAGGGCGATTCAATCCAGACAAGTTTAGTCTCAGGACGTAAATGTTTCAGGAAGTCTTGCTCGAGTTGCGGAGTGAAGGTTACATCGACGCCGTGCGCCGAGGCGACCCGAGTAAAGTATCGGTAGGTGCCACCGTACACATCGCTCACACTTATGACATGACTTCCTGCCGCCAAACTCTGTAGTATGACGGCCGTTGTCGCCGAGCCCGAAGCAAAGGCCAATGCATATTTAGCCTTCTCCGTAGCGGCCACAGCCTTCTCAAAGTTTTCGCGATTTGGGTTAGAGGAGCGGGAGTATTCAAAGTTTCCAATAGGTTTTCCCAAGGCAGTCTGCGCGTATGTTGTACTGAGCGAAATGGCTTCAATCACCGCACCCGTAACCGGGTCATGTGGAGAGCCGGCATGGACGGCTAAAGTGCCAAATTTCAGAGGTTGTTCCGGTAACATGATTGCGAGTACTCTCTCAGAACTTGTGCCAGGGAATAAAGTGAATGTTGAGGGAGGGTAGAATTGCTATACTGATCATGGAAAGGCTAATCAACGGTGACTGAAGTAATTTAGCCCCGGCCAGACGCTAGGCCATGCGAAATCATTTGACACCCATAGTGCCTAGGAGAGAGAAATTAGCCATTAGCCGATGCCCTAATGTTGCGAATAGGCTCTAGAACTTCCTCAATAAGGCACGGCCTACTAGGTCCTGCGCAAGATAGATCCTGGCTTAGGTGAGTAGTGCACACTCAAAGGAAAGTAAGAGGATCTGACCTCGTTGACGCAATTATAATACAGAATTACGACTGATTCCCGTGAGCGATCATTTGTGCTGATCCTGAGGCTTTTCGCTTACACGACCTGCCAGTCCCTTAAATCCGCGAAAGACAAATGATCAACTACTATTATGGCTTAGCCTCTAGTGTGGATTCATACGTTCTAAATTTATTCCGGACCTGACCATTACCGTTTAACTTCTATCAGGATGCTAGCATCAAGCTCGTCTCGCGTTCGTCACGCTGCAACTATTCAAGCGGTACCTTTCCATAATGAATTTACTTTGGATTTATATTCGTCATCAGGCTGTCTCAGCCTATAGATAGCTCAGTGGCAAGCTAACTCCTACCTGGCTGCGAAGATAGCGCAAACGTATGCACTGCCTTTTGTGAGAGTTGGGGACTTTCCAATTCTATTTCTGACTTAACCTTATCTTCGCCACTGAAACAGCGTCTCGGTACTTTTTCTGGCAGAGCAAGCCTGCATCAATAGTTGCTGGTTCCGGAGAGTCTCCGAGAAGTCTGCTAGAACTCCATCCTATATCTCAGTCGTCTTGGCTACAGTCAATGTCAGCCACGCGATCTCAAGCTCTGATTAGCAAGCCGGGGCTTTCTTAACCCTGAATCCCCGGTCAAGAGAGTACATCAGGGCTGCAATGTGACTATCCCACGCGCGGTCAAGCCGCATATGACCAGGAGAGCGATGTTATTCTAGCCGGGGTCTCCGTGTATTCGTCTGAACGCAATGCTGGTGACATGGGAACGTCGAAAACATGGCAATTTGTTGTCGTACGGAGCAGACGTTAGCCACAGATTCTATTTAGTCCATACCGAGATAGAGATCGGGGCGGAGACCTACTCCTCATAGTATGGTACAATTATTGAAAAAGTGTGGATACCTATTGCGGAGATGCGTTTACCAATATGAGCCCAGTACTTGTCATCTGTAGATCGGTGACTCCTCATTTGCTTGTATTAAAACTCATCGCACGAAATGCGGCCTAAGAAGAGTCGTAGTGAAATGGACCCAGCATTACTAAATTCCTGGGAAGATTCAAATCCTCGCCTCCTCAACTGATCTCTGCAGGGTTTCTTAGATGGCGGATAGTCTGTATAAATCCCAACAATTGTTTAGAACAGTGTCGCTGCTCATGGGATGGGCGGGGCGATGCAAGTTGAGGCACCCGTCGCTGCCGGATGATACTCGGCAATCGGAACGTTCACAAAGCCCACACGCCGTGCGCCTGCCAAGGCCCCATGCACTCACGAGGCGCGGAAAAGGTCTGTTGGCAGTCCGAAGCTTTTCAACACACGCCTATCAACAAGCGCCGTTGCCTCTATCCACCTTCTCCAACAACTGCCCACTCAACATGACGTCCTATCCACCCCTTGAATCGGTCCCGCCTTGCAGCAGCTCCGATGATCTCGGTCTCTTTTCCGCAGACCTTATCAGTCCCGAAGTCGCAAGCTCACTACCCCCCACCTACAACATCCGCGCTCTGAGGCGGGCCGACTACGCCCACGGCTTCCTCGACTGTCTACGTGCCCTCACCACAGTCGGCGAAATCAGCGAGTCTGAATGGAATGAGCGGTACGAATGGATGAACAGTCAGGGTAAAGGTGGCTACTTCCTTTTGGTTATCGAAGATGCCGGCCGGATCGTGGGCACGGGAGCTCTAATTGTGGAGAGGAAATTGTGCGTCTTTCCAATCCTATTTCTCTACTATGAGACGCTCCCCTCGCTGCCATTACTCCACCTAAACGCATAAAAGACTAACCTAGGCTTGTATTTCTAGCATCCACAATCTAGGCCTAGTCGGTCACGTTGAGGACATTGCCGTAGCAAAGGACCAACAGGGCAAGAAACTAGGCCTCAAAATTATTCAAGCGCTCAACTATATTGCCGAGAAAGTTGGCTGCTACAAGTCCATATTGGATTGTAGTGAGGCGAACGAAGGCTTCTACGTAAAGTGTGGCTATAAGAGGGCTGGCCTGGAGATGTCACGGTACTACGACGAAGGCGCAAGCAAGAATGTATCGGCTTAGCAACCTAACATACAATACAATAATAGATGAGCGGGAGGCAATAACACTTTACTTTCTAGCGACCCGAAAAGCTTGGATTGTCAGATTTGAAGCATATAATTGTTGCATGGCTGTGACCAAGACTTGGTTAATGTGAATTATTATCGGATGATTTTCTAGCCACACGTCTTACTGGTCGCAATTAACGACAGCTTCGATGCATATGAGCAAAGAGCGTTCGGAATTATTCTTAGATACAAAAAAACCGGGCACCTTTCCGAAACTTGGTCTTTATACGCTTGTTACTACGCAGACAAGAATAAACCTAACTGTTTCAGTTCCCCACTATAAATGCAGCATCTACGTATGTTTCTCGGAGAACTATGCCGTGAGTCCCGTATTCTACATATATACTGGACCAGTTTTCCTATTTTGAGAACTTGTGAGATTATGTGGAAGAGGCAAGGTATATTTAAAAGGTCTTTTACGCAGGTATTACCTTGTTTACGTAAGGTCTACTTTGTGCAACTAGTACCTTCGATATTGAAATATTTTTAGTCGTAACTTATATCGTTGTGTTTGATTATTCCTGCTTGAAATTGAAGTCTTAGTCATAAATTAACTGAAATGATTATATCCTCACCATTAATAGTAACATCTATCCGGATGGCCCCCGCTTAGTCCTGCTGCGATAGCCCAGGAAAAACTTTGAGTAATCTATCACAAATTACGCTTCAGTAGATTGAGCTGGAGGTGCAGGTAACCAATTAGAAGGTAAAATTAGTGAACAAAAGCGTTCATAGTATATTATGCTTTGATGAGCCTATGAGTCAAAAAACTGTGCAACTACAAACCTATGAAAAAGTTAAGTTCACAATTTATCTATGGGAATTTTATCTCTTTTTATGGTGTCTGGCGTGTTCCTCGAGCTCTGCGACGTGTGTTCTCAGTATTTCCCTGCTATTCTTAAATAACACATTAAATGCATTCATATGTAGGGCTAGAATTTGGCCAACAGGTGAATTTATTTGATAATTCCAAAATCTGGGTTGAGAGCCCGAAGCTGACCGTCAAGGGTAAACAATTTATTAGCCTGCATTCGATTTTCAAAGCGTAAGCTAAAAGGCTTATACTTAGAGCTTTTAGGCGATATACTAGGTTTGAAACCTATCTGACGATGTTTCCGTAGCGAAACTTTTTGCCAGAGTAAGGCTGTTGTAGTGGGATTAGATAACACAAATGCCCTTGAGAGTAAGACAACTAAGCTAAGGGTCAACTGCGGTATGATGTAGGCATCATATCCCATACTTACTTCATTTTTCTCTCACATATTTCAGTTTAGTCTACCAATTCCAGGTAAAAAGAAGCGGTATCAGCTGTGTGAATCAAATCTCGGCAATCTGAGCAATTTTCTACGAGTAAAGATTTTGAAGATCCTATACCCGAGAAGAAATGCCTTGTGAAGGGATAAGGGCGATAAATTTCTTTCAGTAAAAAACTAGCGTTAAATCCCTATCCAAGGGATAACTCCACCGGTATGATACCAGTTAGAAAATTATTGAGCAATTGTTGAGTCGCTTATTATTTTGATCTAGGAATTGTATTGTACATAATGTCAAGCTGAGGGCATTTTATGCTGGCAGCACTTCTGATAATTCTTGTAGTACCTGTGAATCATTGAATTTTTTATACCGCCTCTGTGAGCTCTTTCTAGATAGCATAGGAGCACCCGTGTCCTTTCTCATATCAGTTTTATAGGCCATAATATCTGATGCTGCTTTTCTCAGGTCCACGGTTGTATTATGCGGAGATACTGAACAGCCAAATAATTTTGTTGCTGAGCCTAGTTTTATCGATGTTTTGTGTTCTGACACATGCGAGAAGGGACAAAAGAGATCAGTCATCTCGCTTCTAGCCTCGGGGGGTACTGAACTCATTTTACTGAAAAATCGGGTTTTCATGAGGGGTGAGGTAGCGAGTATATGATCAGATCCAGTAGTAACTAGATGGCTACTAGAGAAGTAATCAAATGCTGGAGGACTCGGTAATGGTGTCGAGTGGCTTTCACGTTTAGTGTTGCTATCAGCTGATGACTCAATTCCGCCCTCATGAAAACGACGCGAAATAGAAATCGTATCAGAAAAGGAAGAATCATTATAGGAATCAATAGAGGTATAAGGAGCCATGTATTTTAGCTGATTAACGCTGGCGGACGAATTTTTGCAGGATATCCTAGGTGGGACACGAAGCACTAGGGCCTGTCTAGGACTTTTTTTTTCATCCATGTAAAGATGATCCTCTTCATCACTGACAATAGATTGTTTCAAGTCAACATGATTAATACTGTAGCCCCTCTTAGGTCTTGTTACACTTGATAGGCGTTGATATTTAGCCGTAAAGACGTCTCGAAGATCTGGCTGGCTAGCACCAAAGACCACACGGGCTCGAAGCGCCCGAACGGCCGAATCTAGCTCCAATTCAACGGCGCAAGAGTTTCGAATCCGACTTAGCTTTGGCCAGGTAGCCCGTTCGCCACACAACATAGCTTTTTCCATAAATTCAGGCGTAGGATTGGTCAGAATGAGCGGAAAATCTTTTAGTTCAACCTGAGGTAAGATCGTGATATCACCGGAGTACTTCTGACTTAAAACCGAATTGAGTTTTGTCGCAACGTTTGGACATATACCAAACTCAGCGAGCATGTGTAGCCGGTGAAGAGCTTCATCTTTGGCAAGTTTTGTAAGCGTGCTCATCCATCCAGGGGAGGAGGCTCTTTGGACATACTTAATCTTGGATCGCTCTTCATTTACTAAAAATGGTACTACGTGGGGATTAACCTGGGATACAATGAAGTGATTGACATTGAACATTTCCGCAAGGCGTGTCATGGGAAGATCGCCATCTACGCTACCGTCAATCCATTGTTGAGGAGTCGGGTTCCATGGCAGATTCTCGCCAGTGAGAGGATTTTTTATTAAAAGAGAGGCGGCAGCAAATACCATTGGTACAGAACATGATGCTGCTACCGCCGACCAAATCATTACATTAGGTGACGTAATGTAGTTTAAAAGTCTCGGGAGCTCATAGACTGAAGCAGAAGATACACAGATGTTCAAAATTCTTCGTGTGCGATTATACGCCTCCTGAAAAGTCATATCGCCAAGTAAATCTTGCATAACCCGAATGAGATGTTTGTTGTCAATCCAAGCCCCTTGCGTCAATAGTCGCTCAATATGTCCTAGGACTCCATCCGGCCTATCGTCATCTTCGAACACAGCCAAGTCGCCATGAGCGAAGCTAGCGATTGAGCTAGGTATTTCTGCATCGGTTCGCGAACATAAAACAGAGCAGACTATGCTGCCAGCAGATGAGCCAGAAATAATTCGTGGAAGACAGTTGGCGTTGAATAAAGCCTTGAGTACCCCGATATGGTTCATTCCAAAAGTCCCACCGCCACTTAACAGGAGAGCACTACGACCAAAAGCCTGTCTAGTATTCAAGACCTGTTGGAGAACATTACTTATCTCTATGTCTTCGGGCAGCTGGGATCTAGAAATTTCAACCAAAAGTCGAATAGTTGCAAGTGTCGAATCAATGTAACGTTCAATCAGATACTTGGTCCCTATGTAAGATCTTGTGTATAGACAAACATTCCCCATCCCCCCTAGGTCTCTAGATAGTGCGGTACGCACTAGACTGAGCATCTGCTTGACGTCGCGGGCCTCTCGTGCCTCATCAAGCTGCCTAAGTCTCGTCTCGATAAGTGGCGCGTCGAATTCATCCGACATATTATCGGCTTTCCAGGCCTCATTGTCTTCCAAGATATCTAGCTCTTTAGCGGTAGCTTTCCATTGCTCCGCAGATACACAGTGATGAAGCCGTAAGAGTAAAGCTTGTCTTCTTTCATTCTTTCTAGTATTCATAACTTGCAACTCATTATTGATATCTGTTCTTAATCCCAGTAATGTACGATTGAGCAGTTCAGCACTGTTTCTTAGGGCGCGCGCCGCTGAACCTAGAATATTCCATTGGTCCCGTAATGTGGTGGATGTTGGTGTGCTGCATGCACAGAGCGATGGGGTGTTCATCTCTAGATATGAAAGCCGCAGGGTAAGGTATTAGAGAAAGTTGCTTGAGAGATTATTAGGACAGATGCTAGGTACCCGAAAAAGTTTGAAGTAAAACACTGGTTGTGTTATAGAAGATGCTTTTAGGCTCAAGACATCTTCAGGGATTGTCATGGCTAAAGCTATGAGAAGACGTCATCCCTTTTCCTTTGGAGCGAATTGGGGAGCCGGGGAGTTTGGGTAAAACAAATTCCCATTCCAGACCCGGCGAAGGGGAAATCCCGGCTGGCACATAAAGAAGAGATGTGATTATGAGAGAAGCATGCGGATTACCCAGCCACTTGGGACGGCGTAGACCAGGATTATCTCTGATATTGAAGAATGCGAGGGTGAAAATATTATCTCACACGGGAACTAGTGTCGGGTACTGAGAGGATAGACGTGTTTGGATGACATTTCTTGCTGAATTCAATATTACTCCAAGTTGCATTCATCACATGATAAGGTCCAAGTGTCCTTCCATCTGGGGGAAGTCTATGCAAACGTGATCTAGGCATATCCGAGTTGGGGGTACATGTTCCCTTCATCTGACCCTCTGATACAACCTTGCATTAGCATAGCCTCGTACCCATCAAGTCTGAACTTCGGATCCAGCAGGGAATTGCCTGACGTGACCAAAATCCCCCCCCCCCCCCGAGTTTGCTGAGGCCGTTAATCCAGTGGTTAATCACTCCGGCCACGTCTAGCGCATGACCATTACCTCGTTAAAAAAAATCGGTGTCGCATTTCATGCTGTCAACAACAGTAGACTACACCCCTGGCGAATTATAATTAGGACCCCCACTTTTCCTCAAGACAGAAATCAAATCAGGTTGGGAGAGAAATAAAATTCAATTACAAATTTTCCTTACATAGTTGTAAAATGTTGAAGGACATAGATAGATTAAACAACCGCACACTATACCCTAAACTGGATGAATATATCGAGGTACCCAAGCTAGCGCCAGTGTGGAAAATGAATCCGCCTACCAAAGCAATGAGGTTCCTGATGGATTAGTATGTGTGAAAAGTGAGATAAGCTTAGCTTTAATATGGCGTAGGTCACGGGTGTCTCGTGGCTCCAAACTACTAATATGTAAAGTAGAGCTTAAGACTAGATGAAACTTGGTTTTCCATTAATACAGGGTATCGTCTATATAATTACAGTATTCCTTATCTTGCGCCCGGACTCCAACGTGAACAATATTACATAAGCATTACAATTTATCAGAGCCTCGTACTAACCCAGAGGTCTGTCAATCATGGATCCTCAGCAAGCCCCTCTATGCGACAATCTGGAGGCCCGGGCGGCAGTCGCGGGACCATTTGCTCTTGATTTGATTTCGTTTAGCCCGTTCAGGTATATCTAGCTAGAGGGCAAGACTGAACACCTGTACGCGGTGTCCTCTACGAACCTGGGAATGAAATATTCTCCAAGAGCCAAGTTCAGTCAAATTTCGCAATATCGAACAAGTTGGCCCTGGAGGCAATGATTCAAATTACTCCACCACGTCAAATTTTCACTCCCAAAAAGATCTAATCCTACCTAAGCCTCATCAAGTCTACAAGTACGACCTAGTACATCCTCATTCCAATGATCACACCTCTCGTCGACCTTCTCTGGCCTCAGCCGGTCACCAAATACACGCCCACGCCTGTATTTACATCCGACGGAGGAAGCAAAGCATGGCGCACAAATCTGGGAGACTGTTCTTTGAGATGGACGTGGGAAGAATCAGGACAAGTTCATAAGATGATGCGAAGGATGGATACAGTCTCGACGGGCGTGGAATTTGGAAATTTGGAAAGGAGATTTTTACAAATTGAGCTTTGTGCGCGACAAGGCTTCTGTTGCGAGAGTGCAGGCGACACTATAAACATCGCCATGGTTGGATGGTGCGGTGGTACATCGTCTTGGCCGATCTGCCAAGTAGAGTCTGGATAGCTTGGACACATATCCCACTTGAGACAGTAGATCGCTGGTTCAAATCCAGCAAAACAGAACCATATTTCTCGCGGCGCTGGCATGCATGGATGACGAAGGCATGCTTGGATAACCAAAGGATTCGAAATTCCCTTTAGTGGGTATTTACGGAGGAGGGTTGACTGTTTGTGTAAGCAAGCATACCTCATAGTGGTATTTGCGGATGAAATCCAGAACATGAGTGTCTCTAACGTCAAAAAAGTCATCCAACATGTATACATAGGACCGGTCATGTGTCATAGCTAGATAGCTGAATACACATTAAATGATTTTTAAAAAAAAAATGTATATCTAGCTATAATATTTACAAAGGAGGGAATCAATGCGGTCAAAACCCCCAAAACTGTCTTTCTCGTATCTATTGGTTTCCTGAGGTGTCAGACAGGAATTACGTTTACACTTTACGTTCACTGTGAATACCGTCCTATCATTTTCCTGATCGCGTCGTTCTTTCATTGACTGCTATCTCAACTTCTTTTGCAAGCCGGAACTGTTCTAGCCAACCGTTACTAAGTATCCACTCTGTAATTCTCTTCATGCCGTCCGGGATGTTCATCATAGCTTCGAAAGACCTATCTTTTGCCATTTGCAGTACCTCTCTTCTTCCCTTAGCCCATTGAGGACAGGCCAGGACCATATGTTTCATGTTTTGTGACGGATATCCACACTGGCACTTTGGATTTGCCACTCCAGGGACCTTTCTTCTACATAGATAAGAGTTGAAGCCGATATGCTCACTTCTCATCTGTATCGCAATACTAAATTGGGTCCTGCTCAGGTTTTGGTGGATGTCTGAGGATGTGTTTATGTAGATGATTCTTTTTCTGCCTGTTCTCTTGTCGGTGTTGATACTTGCTGGTTTCCAATGATCTGGGTCTGCCCACGCCTGATGAGAATATAGTCACTGTTCCTTGGAAGCTTTCCATGCGCTTTCCCACTCCTGGAATGCTGCTGTCTTACCCGCTTCTTTTTTATCTATGGGACCATTTGCATCCTTGCAACAGGAAGATAAATAAACAGAAATTTTTTCGTGACGGTCACAAGCCCTGCAATCAAAGATTATGACATGGAGAAGGCTATTCCTTCTCCGACGACTATATACGACGAAAACTCAGTTTGGCGCTTGGACTACTCAGGTAGTGGGTATATTTTCTGATACCACTCGAGACCTTTGTGCTGGGAACTTTCACCCTTCCTTCAACCGTTAATATCCACCAAAGGGTAAATAGGAAAACCTTTGGCTACCCTAACATGCCTTTGTCATCTTGTATATAGCCGCCGCGCGAGATATGGTCTCACAGTACTCCCTTTCTCGAGTGAGGCTGGTGTCCAGGCTACCCAGACTTTGGTTCGGGGAGATGACGACTAGAAGGCGGACCAGAACATCTTCCATCGTTGTCTGATTTAAGAGTATTTATTTCACTATCTGAGATCGTTACCTGTGCGCCCACAGACACCCCAAAGTCGAGAACACTCGAAAATGTGCGTCCCAGCATGCCCATTTATGACCTCTTCACTCATTCGTCCTACGTCCCAGCTGTCTGTCCTCCCTCAAGATGTGAAGCCCCATTAAAGCAGCGGTCCCCCATAGACCAAGACCCTGGCTTTGTAGATCACGAATTAGCTTTCTCTTCGCGGATATACATAGCATCGTAACTTTGTAGTGGGAGATGGCACATTTTTGATGAGGCGAATTTCAGATTGCAATTGGAGTAACGCCTTTATCGGTTGTTAATTCGAGGTGATGTAGTAAGATTGAGTAACACCTTTTCAACTTTGAGCTGAATTATCTTCCTCTTCGTCAGAGATACACTTCTGATAACTCATAAGACGACAAAGACGACGATAATGATGCTGGGAATGAAGAAAGATGATGTGGCACCAAACGCTACAACGGAATTCAGAGAAGCACTCGTCACATTACAACATGTGCTACGTGTTGTGATCTAACGCTGTTCAATCTGCGGATTTTGTGGTGAGCAGTTATTGCATCCCATGTGATGGAACACGGGAGCGAAGTAAAAGAGGGGACAGCCCACTAGCCAAATCTAAGCGATTACGGGCCAATGTAGAACTGCAGCACATTCTCTGTAGATAGACATAACAAGCAATTATCATCAATAATTAAATCAACCTCCGCACAATTGAGACCCATAGAAGTGCCAAACTTTCATACAACCCTCAATTGTATTGTCGCAATCGCATCTGTAACGAGCCACCACTGCATTCTAGAATACACTCTCTAACTGTGATAAGCTATACCGCCAGGTCTAGCAAACAAATTACAATACTACGTACTGGCGGGCGAAAAAAAGCCCACGAAAGCAAAGTAAAAGACCTTTCTGCCCTCAAGAAAAGCCGATTTCGACTCGTCTATCATAACGTCCCAACTAATCATAACTTACGAAAAGACTAGCCAGGAGGACATCTGAAATACACGAGTTACTCGACGACCCCACGTCCGCAAAGACTTTTGGATGCCGGCCTAGGCTTTTTCACGACAGTCATTCTCGACCAAGACTTTTCTGACATCCTTTCGCGACCTTCGGTCTGGCCTGCGGCATGAATCGGGGGAGGAGTAAGGAGGAGGAGGAGACCAGGAAGGTTGAGAGATGCTCTTAGGTATACACAGGTCTGTTGCGCCTGGTTGGCCAGCCTCATCGTCATAGGGGAGCCCTGCACTCAGTGGTTTTTGAGACTTTTCCCTGTAGCTACACATCCGCAAATGGCCACTATTTCGTTGGCTGGAGAGGGGATATAATGAAGGGTAAAGGGCTCCTCTAAATTTATGATCGAATGAGGACTTGTGATAGGTGTTACTGTATGAGGGGAGTTGTATGGGAGGCATAGGAGGGAATATACTACTGGCATAGGTATCCTTGACTTGTAGACAGAGAGGACCTGCATGTCCTACATAGTCATAGACTCAGAAAGGACAATAAAATGAGATAATAAAAAATTAAAAAGATTACCATTTCGAAAAATCGACCCTATCGAATGTCGACCTGTAAAGTTTCAGCCTTGACAGAGGCACGATGGAAAGACATACCGCGCGAGGTTCTGATGATCGGAGGCCGACTACTGGCAACTAAGGAGAAAATAAGGCGTCGCAAGTGCCCAAGATACAGACTCAGCCCTAAGGAGGTTCAGAAAAGCGATTGAAGACAACCTCGCTCCTTCTTAAGGAATTTGATGTGGTGATATTTCTAGAGGGTACGAATGAGATAGTCAGTGGATTAGAGATCAAATGACATTATCTGAGGCAAAAGCTTCAGTGAGAGAAGTAGAAGAGCCAAAGGAAGTAATGCGGTGCAACGGTCTTCCAAAGAAAAGATGAGGTTTAGAAGTAAAAGTGAATTAATTTTTAGAACACGTTGCGCAAAGGTCTGAGTATCCTAATGCTAAGCTTTGTTATATACCTAATTCCATCCAACTACCCATTATACTTTTCATAATATCATAATTTTCGTGATATTATACTCTTTCCAACTCGAGGATGTCATATGCGATCTATTAAATGACGTCCTAAACACACAAGCAATTTTAGTCTGATGTAGAAGACGTCATGATAAAGAGAATTACAGGATGTTACTTGACTCAAATATGAAGTCTGAAGACGGTGCATCTTCATTTCTACTATCAACAACTCATCATGATCATTCAATCTGTGAAACTCCTACAGCATGCATGAAACTTTTAGCTGAGGCCATTCAAGCAATTGAAAGCCTCCGGAAACCGAAAGTGTCCCCAATTATTCCAAAGGCTTCGCGTGCAGGAGATAAAACTACCATGTCTAAATTCCTGCAGGAAATACAGACTATTAAAACAGCGATAACAATCAACCAAAAGTCTACCCGCGGACATTAGCAATCACAGGCGAAGATAACTAGCCAGTCTGAGATGGTTGGCACTACAATGAGGATAATCGATGAAAATGAGAGAGAAAATGTATACCAGCTAACAAATGAATAATTGGTGAGGAAAACTCGAGCCAGAGAAATTATAGGGGCCAGGAAGATGAGGAATTGGCAGGTGAAAGTCTTTTTTGAGGGATAGGCACTAAAAGATGAAATGGAAAAAACATCAAGACTGGACACAAAAGCTGGCAACTAAAGCACACATAGCGAGTCCCATTTATCAGGTACTGATCCACGCAATGCCCCTCTCACTCAAGCATGAGAACCCCGAACATATCGCAGCATTACAAGGGTCAAATGAAACATACATAGAGGGGGTCAAGATACAAAAAGCTATGTGGCTTAAGTAAACAAATCAACTGGGAAAAATTGCAGGATCGGCGATTCTATGGTTTGCCCAAGCAGACCATGCGGATAAAGCTATTGCTAAATGTATGGTTTGGCAATATGAAGTCAAAGCTACACAGATCTTTTGTTCAGGATTCCGGGTGATGCAGTGCTCTAACTTTCAGAAGATCGAACATGCTTCTAAGACCTGCACGGCTGAATCCAAGTGTGGCAGATGTGCAGGAGGACATAGTATCCGAAAATTTCATGGTAAACAGGATACTAGATGCAGTAATTCTGGGAGAAAACATCCAGCATGGGACCAAATTTGTCCAACTAAACTAGCGGCAAAGTCTAAGGCTGAAATAAATAGGACTTGCGATCCGGGAAGATACCAACACGCGGCGGAATCACAAAAAGACGTATAAGATGAGTGGCAATTGGTAGGCTCCAGGAAAAGACGAGCAGGTACATCAGCTGTGAAAATAATCAGTCCAATTGGTGCAACTAGCACCTGTCAAGGTCCTGGAAGGCCACGCAAGACTCCCGGCTCCCTGGCCCCCGATTTCTCAGGAACCTGAGATAAATTGATTTCCTCACCCGGTGCGCTAATGTCGTTCACCCAAAATACACCCCGGGCTGTGATGCGGGAGAACCCTAAAGAGACTAACAGGGCACCAGACTGCGTAATTGATCAATGAAAGGTGCAAATATATTAAACATAACACAGTATAACGTTAATCAAAGCAAAAATATAGTACAACACCACTACCTGCAAGCCTTAGTCCCACTAAAGCACCATGTGGTGGCTCTAAAATAGCCTTGGCGTTATCCAACAGAGAATACCACAATTAAACACCCGGCCTACCATCTGATATTCCCAGATTTCCTCAAAGGTAGGACATGTATATATATCAGAAAACACCTCGCAGTCACGAAGTGAAGAAAGGAAAATCCTCCAGTAGAGGCGGATGGAGATATAGCCTCCATCAGCTTGCAGACCAATAAAGGCAAAATGTACGTTACTAATGTATACAACCCTCCTCCCTTATCACATAATAGCATAGAACTAGGGACTCTAGAATATCTCCCAGAACTTCTCTATGAAAAAGGCTAGCATATCCTTGTGAACGACTTCAAACTCCTCTACCCTAGATGGAGGTGGGGAAATCGGTGCTAAGTTATTTTAAGCTAGCTGAAGACTTAATAGAAATACTGGGATATAACGACATGGAGTTAATTCTTCCGGAAGGGACCATCACTTAGAATAATAGGAGAAGTCAGAGTACGCTTGATCTCGTTTTCCTATCGAAAGAGCTTGATGACCAAGTCATAACTTGCTAACCGGATAGTAATCTTGAAGCGTCCTCCGAATATATTCCCATATCCACGCAAATTTAAATTCAGCCATAAGTAAAGAAAAAAGCCAGAAATACATCTCCAATGGAGAGAAAGAGAGAGGTATGTTTATTGTATAACTTGAGTCATAGACAATCTAGCACATTGGGCTCCTCTCTAGCCCAGGCTGCACTTTGTATAATGCACCTTGCCTCCTATGTTACTTCAAAGATCATTGATATATTGCTCGTGATGAATAGCCATTCAGCTCAGTGTTTACTCGTGGAATTCGGCCACCTTTTCCACGGAAATTCCTACCCAAAAAAATAAAAATGGTAGTTATGGAAACTGCGTACGCGGGAAAATGTCTCAAAAAACCTGCAGCCCCACCCAGACGAAGCCTAGACACCAGGACCACATGAGGTGCGCATATTTATCTATATCTCCCTTCTTTGTAACATTCGAGGTCGACTTGATCCAATCCGCCATCTCCGTATCGGGTGCTGGGTACGCTCCGGAAATTCATCGGATGGCTTTTCCTCCATGCTAAAGGATTGGTAATGAGTAGGGCTTTGACCCTACCATGTAGTCTGATTGTAGTTAGCTTCATGATAGAGATGATAGAGGGTCGTATTAAGAGATGAAGACGATAGAGACCGCGAAAGCGATTGGGAATCCTAATCGAAGTGAGGACTTTGTTACTCAATCTCGGCTCTGCAGAATTTATAGTGAGAGCTGGAGGTTCGTAGGGGATACCACCGACAGGTGTTGAGTTTCACCTTCCTAACCAGGACCTAGATAGCTGAATAGAATGACCTCACCACTTATCGACTTTTTACAAGAACATAAGGAAGTGGGAGTTTATAGTGTTAAACAAACAGTTATCAAAAATTTGAGTATTTGTCTAAGAGATGTGGCTCTACGATTTAAAATAAACGTGGAAAGCTAGAAGGCGAGCGAAATTTCATTGCTGACATAATTTACTCGTAGAGGGCCGTTCGGTTTGTTCATTGGGAGATATAAAGAATTGTTGAAGTCACACGCATTTGAATGATTGAGGACTCAGGCTTCGTCAGAATCTCATCGATAAAATTATTTGCTTTTCATTTCAATCACCTATCTCTTTCTACGACTGAATCATAAAGAAGTTCTAGCTTTCTTTACATACTTTTCAACAATATATGATATCGTGCCAACTCAACATCTGAAATCTTCGATGGACTTTTAGCCATCAAATCATCTCCTTTTGAACTCTTGGGAAATGCAATAACATCTTTGATCGAGTCCTTATTTGTCAAAACTGCTATCAGTCGGTCGAAACCAAGAGCTATACCCGCATGCGGTGGACAGCCGGCGGCAAGTGCACCAAGAAGATGTGAAAAGTCATCCATGCGCTTACTACTCATCTTGAGGACATCCCTCATGATATATTTCTGCATCTCTGCAACATGAATACGTCGACTACCACCGCCAAGCTCTATTCCATTGACGACCAGATCATAGTGATCCGCTTTTGCTTTTAAGGGTTCCACCGACAAGATATCGACATCATCTTCTGTTTTGGGGGCGGTGAAAGGGTGATGGGTTGCATGCAGGCCCGAATTACCATCTTGTCCAACAGTCTCAATGTTATCTAATGTGAACATGGGAAATTCTGTGACCCAGAGATAATGATGACGCTTGTCAGGCTCAACGAGCCCGCACTCCACCGCAGCTTTATATAAGGCTCTTCTAAGCAAGCCAAGACTGGTGGAGCCGCCCGAATTTGGTAGATTAGGTCGAGCTTGTAGGATAAAGAGATCACCTTCTGCAAATTCTTTTTCCAAAGCATAAATATGATCATCTTGGTACTGAACCCTCATTTTCTGTTCATATATTTTCCTAAGTGCAGCTACTCCTTCAAATCCAAAAATCTGTAGACCCGATAGTGGCTTTGAAGTATCATAGCATGCAAACCCTGGAGCACCATCTGGGTTTGATGTGAAAGTCTCAGCGTCAGGAGATGTCATGAAATTTTTAATGAACCTCTTTAGTTCGAGTGGTGAGGCATTTAGTCTTAGTTTACAGCATTCAATAATAGGATCGGCTATCGTTGTGAGCATCTTACACAGTTCATTACTAGTTGCCTCATTTATTTGAGTAATCTAAAAACATTAGATTCAGCTTGAAAATATCGTAAAGCTTCAAGTTACCAAACCGGTTATTCGAGTGTCCGGTTTGTCAGTACCATGATGTGACATAGCATGATCATAAGTCATTACCGGAAAATCTTCTTGTTGATAAGGATTTTTTTTTTCGATACGTATTGCAGGGACACGGTCTGAGAATTTATGATAAATATATTTGATGAGACCTTCAACCAGTCCCATTACCTTATTTCCTCCAGCGAATGCAAGCTCGATATCGATCTAAAATGGTTAGTAAACGAATAAAACTTCTTAGATTTTCCTGGAGAAGCACCTGAGTGAACTCAGGCTGTCTGTCAGCCCGGAGATCTTCGTCCCTGAAGCATCTCGCAAACTGTAGATATCTTTCGATTCCGCTTGCCATGAGAATTTGTTTGTACTGCTGTGGGCTCTGTGGAAGCGCATATGCATGACCATACTTTCGTGAAGGTACTAGGAATTCCTTGGCGCCTTCGGGAGTAGACTTGAAGAGAATAGGTGTCTCAACCTCTTGGAAATCATGCAGATATTCTCGAACAGCTTTTGCAACATCAGAACGAAAAGCTAGCGTTTCCCGTAGCCCAAAGTCATACCTAATTTGCATATGTCTATGTTCAGGTAAAAATACTTGGTCCTTGGCGACTCGTATATGATGCGGAAAAGAATTTAAACATGTAAACTCAAGAAGATCAATCTCTAGAGATTTAATTGATAAATCTTCTCCGTCATGACTCGAAGGTTTTATAGATTGAGGCTGTTCCTTCACAACGTTTGACTTCTTGAGCCGAAATTTTCCAGCTATGCTTATAGGGCTATTTATCACTGCATCTCGTAGTTGCTGGCAGATCTGTGGATTTCGCGTTATCAATTGAAGAGTCTCTCCTATACTTGATGTTCCAACCATTCGCGCAAAAACCAACTCTTTGCTGAGAGAGTCTACTTTTACTAGATAGCCAACTGCATGAATAGTTTCTGCTTGAAATTGCGTCTGAGATATGGTAGGCGTAATTTGTATCGGGGCTGGTGGGAGGTTATCTTACCAAAATTAATATAAATCTCTGCCTCAAAGAAAGATTAGAAACCTACACACATTTTTGAATTGGTTCATAAAACTTCGGGAAAGTCTGATTTTGCCCAGAAAAAAGCTTCTGTTTTGAGTATCATTATGCTTTTGCAGAAATTGAATTGACGCATGCCTCAATGGGCAAGGTCCTCTATTAATGAGCCGTGCAATATCTTGCATATCTACACCTGAAGGAATGATAGCCCATCCACATCTTGTACACGTGGTCATAATCCATAGCAAAGTCGCGTCTAGTGCGACAATCCAAATTTAGCTAGTGTACATTTGGACACTAATTGAGGTATAAATAATGCTGGAATCGCATGTTTATAAATCAATCCTTCCAAGTTTTAAAAAAGTGAGTCGTCCAACACATTACTTGAGATAATAACTAATATCTTTTAGATGATGAAAGCCAGCGTGATTCTATGAAAATTCTCTTTGTTCAAACTCTCATTCTCTCCCTTAGCCGGGCCTCAGTGGAAAGATTGTTCGATCAGAAAGATAATATGTAATAAGCGTTCACACACACCTTGTTCATCAATGAACGCGTAAAAGGCATCTCTGACCCTAAAAGCTTGGAAGGCACTCAAACAAATCAGAACTTTCAAGTTACGTATATTTTCCATCAACTCTAACATAGCTTGTCTATATGCTTTTACACTAAAAGGAAATCCTAGCACATCTCTAGCACAGTAAACAATGGTTGTGAAATAGTAATAATTTATATAATCTCGCAAATAATCAGAGTCTAAAACAATCACTAAAATCCTCAAAAGTAGTAGCATACTTAAGGCGCAATTTGTCATGGAAACTATGTGCTCGTCAAAAATTTATTTGGTTCATTTGTGCTACAAGTATTGTCTATCTTGGTCAATCAAAGAAACTTAAATGCAGCATCTCAATTTTAATGACTAGGTCCTCAGTGTTGTGAGAATAACTTTCATGGCAGCTTTAATGATTTTCATGAAGTGAGGTATATTAATGTTGACTCAAGTGACTCTCCCAGTGCTCCAATGTGATCGACGAACATACATCCAATGTGTTAGAACATAGAATGATTGGGGCTATCAACCAGACCTCGTTGCTGATACACACGTGACTGCAAATCCTGTACTTAGTTTCACTTCGGTAGTAATTGGAATCAAAGCGCTCTACAACCTCAATGACTGAGGGATCAGTATTTCTTTGATGTAATGAAAGAATAATCTGAAAGTTAGGCCTCAATCAGGTAAAGACAGAGATATATGCAATGAAAGAACTACCAAATCGAGATAGATAAAACCAGACAACCAATTTAGATATTTTAGAAAATAAATACAGCTGTTGAAACTTGTCACCGAAGATTATGGGAGAGGAACAGCAAATAGCTACCCGCTGATTATTATGTTCAACTTCTCACTAAATGTGCATAGCTACCGTAGCCCGGCAAACGAACATTTACATGTCTGGATTTTACATGATTCTCCTAAATCCAATGAAGTAAAAATTTGGAATCATTCACAAGAGTAAGCAGGTAAAACTGCTTACACTGAACACACGTCTTTGTTCGTGTTCGGATCATTTACTTATCTCTTTTGAGCACTAGACTTCATCGGAAATATAGGTCCTCTTTGTTTACAGGCCAAGGACGCTTATGCAAGTAGTAAATCTCTTGTAACTCACATACAGCTCTCATCTAACAGTACATCCGTCTATAAACCGTCATTCTATCATACACCAAGAGGAGCGATTTTTCCTTAATTACCTACTTTGACGGAACCAAGCTGGTTATAGTGTACTTTTAGAAAGATTAAACTATGTGAAGAGAGAAGTACCACAACAACGGGTAATGACTATTTGTGCATCCTTCTAGCCCACCCAGTACGTACTCCGTTGGTGAGCCTGACATGTTGCTCCGTCACTGCCCGTCGTTATCTTTGCCATCTAGCTTGACTCTATCACTTGGCAATTCTACTTCGCCGTCTCATATTCCTTCCTAGCTCCAATGTAATGTGGCCCAGTGAAACTTAGTCGCTTGATACAAGATAACAAGGGGGACTATTCTCAACACCTGTCAGCGGTGTCCCCTACGAACCTCCAGCTCTCACTGTAGAGTCTGCAGAGCCGAGATTGAGTAACAAAGTCCTCACTTCGAAGAGGATTCCCAATCGCTTTCGCGGTCTGTATCGTCTTCATCTCTCAACACATTCCCCTATCACCATTATCATGAAGCTAACCACGATCAGATCAGATGGTAGGGTCGGAGCTCTACTCATCACCAAACCTTGACCACGGAGGAAAAGCCATTCGATGAGTTTCCGGAGCGTACCCAGCACCCGATACGGAGATGGTGGATTGGATCAAGTCGGCCTCGACTGTTACAAAGAAGGGAGACATAGATGAATATGCGCACCTCATGTGGTCCCGGTGTCTAGACCTCGCCTGGCTGGGGCTGCAGGTTTTTTGAGACTTTTTCCCGCGCACGCAGTTTCCATTGCTACCATTTTTATTTTTTTTGGGTAGAAGGTTCCGTGGAAAAGGTGGCTGAATTCCACGGGTAAATACTGAGCTGAATGGCTATTCATCAAGGGGAATATATCAATGATCTTTCAAGTAACAAAAGAGGATAGGAGCACTGTACAAGGTGTGGCCTGGGTTAGAGAGGAGCCCAATGTGCTAGATAGTCATAGACTCAAGTAGCACAATAAACACAAAGAAACACACACATCACAATTTTTTTGAAATTCGAATATTCGAATATTCACCCTTTCCCCCTCTCCCTCCCTCTCTCGATATCGTACGCCCTTAATTCAAAATTTGTGAGCGACTGGCAGGCTACCAATATGCCCCCAGTTCGCAGTAAGCCATCGCGGGCGAAAGACATCGTAGATAACCGCAAGCACCTCAAACACGTTGCTCGACAGAAAGCAAGCGTCAAGTTGGGCCCACTCACTGCCGTTCAAGAGATGAACATCGACCAATTAATCGACGAAAGTACCATAGATTGCGATATGATAGATGTTGGCAACTTTGACATTGACAAGATTCTTAAGAATCTGAAAAGACTGCCTAACTCAATTCACTCCAAGCCAGATGCGACCGGAGCTGAAAATGCAGCGACGAGTCGCAACAATTTAGGGACAGCGACTACCGGACAGCATATAATTCCTCTCATTGAAGTCGCTGTGCCAGCTATGAGGCGGGCTGCGATTGCAGATGCTAACAAGGCAAAAGGCGCGGCATCTACCCCGATCCCCTGGAACATACACTAGGAACCACAGAAGAGAATCCTTCTCCTCGCAGTGGAAATGAAGACAGGCATACGGAGGAATGCCCCCCCGAACTGAGAGCCTTAATTGAGGCTGAGGAACGCCGGGCCGCAAAAACTGCGGAAAATGTAAAAATTTGCACCGCTGCAATAAACGGTGTCGAGAATGCTCTGTCCCCCCTATCCGAAGGGTCGAGTGTTCAATTTATAGACTCTATGAAAGTCTACATTAGAGCTGCAATAGCTCAATTTATGATCGCGGGACCAGGTACAGTCCTCCCATCACTTCCCCCACGCCCCGAAAGCCAGGCTACTGGCAGCAAGATTATAGAACGTGCTGCCAAAAAGCAGGATGAGCCACAAAGTAAAGTGACTCATGACAAAGTCTCCCAGGCCAAAACCACTTGGGCGTCAATCACCCGCACCGGTATAAAGACTCCCCCGGCAGCTACAAAAGTCGCACAGGCTATGCCAAAGGCGGCAAACTCGACGCGGCCGTCAAAAAACCCGACCACCCCAACGCAATCGGCCATGAAAGATGAACGCTTGTTTCTTCGCCTTGGAAATGAACACCCTTGGAGAAAGCTATCACCGTTTGGTGTTAGAGAGGCTGTGGCAAAAGTGCTTGAAATTCCTCAAGCCAATATTGAGCACGTATACCGTGTTCCAACTGGCTTCGCAATTAGAGCCGAAAACCAAGAGGCACGCGCCATCATATTAAGCCTAGCTGGGTCCCTCATCCAGCAAGATGCTATACTGGAAGAAGCAACGGACCTGGGCTCACTTAGAATCGCAACAGTCCCAGTTGCCATTAATACAATAATGGGCAGAGTAATCGTCACTGAAGAGATGGTAACAGACGACATAGTCAGGGTCATCAAGGCTGTCCCGGTAAAAGTTCGCCCACATGGGAAAAGCCGACTTGGAGCCCCATACCAGTCATGGGTAGCCCTTTTCGAAAAAGCATCGATTCCTCGGTCAGGCTTCCGACTTTTCGACGACTCTGGGATTGCAGTCCGCCACCAGCCTCGTCAAAGCATCAACCAGTGCAAAAGATGCCTACAATTCCATGGCACCAGAGGCTGCTCGCGCGCCCCAGCCTGCTGGAATTGTACTTCAACTATGCATTCCATCGCGGAGTGCAAGGCACACACCAAGTGCCGCAACTGTGGAGATCCACACAGGTCAGATAGTCGGGACTGTCTAGCTCGTCCAACAAAGTCTGGAATGGCCTCCAGGGAAAACCTTCAGACCATAAGGCAGGCTAGCCAACGCGAATTCGCAGCAGTCACTCGGGCCAAAGCAGCAGTCAAACGCGCAGAGGCAGCGATGACAGCAGCCGCAGAAGCGTCAAATACTAACCAGCCAGGTTTCAAATCGACCAACTGTTTTGAAGTTCTCATGTCCGACACTACAGCGACTGTAGCCGAGGTCGATGAGGCATCAAATCAGCAAAAATCTTTGTGAAGGGCACCCCACGGGTCTCTTCGAGCCTCTCTCCTACTCTAAGCTTTATGTCGATAAACGTAGGTAGAGGGGGCTCAACGCAAAACATTGCGCTTGCCCGAGCATTTGAGCTGGGTATCGACGTGGTTCTTGTTCAAGAACCTCTGTGGAATAAACAAAAGAATACAACAAAGGATCACCCAGGATATACCTATCATCTGCCTAACGGCGGCGAAAATGTTAGGCCGAGGGCTGTGACCTATACCCGGATAGATGATAAAAAGATATCGGCAACACAGATCTTTCCTTATGTTGTGTCCACAGGAGACTATTGCTGGGTAGAAGTGAACGGCATTACTTTTCTCAACGTCTACAAGGCACCCAATGACTCGACAGCTATCCAGCCACTAATCAACTGGACTCCACCGCCAAACTCCGTCGCTGCTGGGGACTTTAACTCGGTATATTGGGCTTGGCAACCTGGCGTGGAACGTCCTCATGGACAAGGAGAAATGATCGAGAAATGGGCAGACAAACACCATTTGATCTGTCATATTATTGGGGAGCCCACTCACCGAGCTGGAAACACACTAGATCTAGTTTGGAGTAATGTCGACGGCGCCCGTGCTTGGGTAGATCGTGGTGGATGTGTCACCAGCGATCACTTCCCTATCCGAGGACAAATTCCAGTTCGCAACTCAGTGATGAGACCCGAAAAGGCAAAACTCCGAGTAACCAAGGATAAGCTACCCAGATACGCCAAGGTCATTGCACAGTGGGTCCGACCACCACCAGTTCTTGACACAATCGAGAGGGTTGAAGAGTATGCCGAGGAAATTTGTTTCCATCTCACTAACGCAATCAATGCAGTAGGAACACGACCAAAAGCCCGCTGCGGGAGATCTGCTCCGTGGTGGACCCCAGAGTGCTAGGCAGCTTTCGCTGAGTACAAAAGCGCGATAACTCCCAGTCAACGGGCACTCAGCGCGAAAAAGCTCCGATCAGTTGTGAAGACCTCGAAAAAGGAGTTCAAAACCCAACAGGTCGAATCAATTACTACGCCGACTGATGTATTCAAGCTAATGAGAATGGATAACCCCAGACAGGCTAGTATCCCTCCGCCACTGAACCATAATGGGACGTTGGTAACAGATCCATTAAAACGGGCCACGATCCTTCGCGACTCCCTCCTGGCACGATTTCAGGCATCAGACGACTTGTCACCATGTACAGTCGCGAGCAGCAGTCGGATACCATGGGAAGAGGACGTAACAGATGAAGAAGTCCGTGCCTGTACCATTGGTTGCGGAAATACGGCCCCAGGAGCAGACGGAGTCTCCGTAAACCTGCTGGAGGCGTGTTGGAATACAATTGGGCCTTGGATTTCCCAACTGTTCCGAGCTTGCATTCTGCTTGGTACCCATCCAAAGTGTTTCAAATTAGCCGAGGTGGTCCTCCTTCAAAAGAACGATAGAGA